GCTTACTACCATATTCTTGATATTCTTTAGATCTGTAATTTTTTTGGACTTTTCTCAAACTTTCTTTTATAGGTTATGTCTTTATTGAAATTCTTTTCCCCGATCTCATTTCAGCGAGCATCACAGAGCTGTTGCTCTAAAGACGACTTCTATAGTTCTGTTGTATTCTCAGTTCTTCAAGTATGGTTGAGTTCCTCATCTCCCCTTTAAGTGCTCCACATGGGCCTGAATGGGGACCAAGGGCCTGTGTTTGAAAGGTTCTGGAGACTGACCAGGGATCCAAAATAGGGAGTACTTGGAAGCACTTATCAAATTTATAAACTGTTCCCATTTGCCTTGGATTACAAAACTCAGATTACCAAACAGTGCGAGAAGTTATATGAAGAAGAAGTTATATGAAGAGAAGTTATATGAAGAGGTAGACTAGAAATGATATAGAAATTAGAGACAGTAGTGGAGGGTTATGGGTACTTTGGTGGTGGTGGTGGTGGTGGTGATGACTTACAGTAATCTTCTATGTGAAATTATAAATGTAAACTGATTGTAACCATATTGAAGGATGAAGGTAGTTGGGAGGGGAGGAAGCCTGGCAATGAGGACTTGGGATATAGTAAATCCAAGATGTGACTCAAAGAAGTTACTCTCTTACTATTCCTAAAGCAGCTAAAAGCATTATTGCATTTGGTCGACACAAGAACTGAAGTCTGATAAATTCTAACTGGTGCCAATTCAGGCCCAGAGAAGACTGGACCTCTCCGGAGAGAAGTTCCAGCAGAAACAAAGAGTTATGATAAGGACTGAAAGGTATACCACCAAAAGTTTTAAGCCCTTCCCCTTGACAATGCCATGGTAATGGACTCATCCAGGTAGAAAATCCCATGTTGCAGGAGTTTAGGAGAAAATCTATAAAACCAACATTGCAAAGGCAAGCATTATGCCTCCCTATTCTGGGGGTGACCTGTAACTCCACTGGAAAAGTGTACTCTCAGCTCTCTCTGCCTCTGTTGAACACATTTCTTCTCTCCTCTCCCTCTCTCTCTCTCTCTCTCTCTCTCTCTTTCTTTCTTTCTTTCTCTCTCATCTCTAAATGAAGCTCCTGAAATTCTTTTCTGTGAGGGAATGGTGATGAACCGATCTGACTTCTTTCCTGCGAAGAGCAATTCCTTGCTCCAGCCTGAGTCCATGGCTCCCCAAGGAATTGGATCACGGGATCATCTCAAGACCACACCATACAGAACAAGGGATGTCAGGTACAATTTGACAGTTGCTTCATGGGGCTGGTGAGGTCAATCCCATGCAGGGGTTCAGAGTCAACTGTCATCTGTCCTGGATTTCCTGCCACTTCCTGGGTGACTGGGGTGGATAGAGAGAGAAGCAGTGGACTCCATCCTCAAGGCTTTCATCTCTCTCTCCTACCCACTTCACATAAGTCACCTGGAACAACATTATCTAAAAAATAATTTCTTTTTTTAATTTTAATTTTGTTTTAAGTCTTCCTTGGTAGTGTTTAGTACTCCTGCTTCACTGCTCAGGGAATCATGCAATACTCAGATCAAACTCAGGAACCCCACATACAAAGCAGGTGCTAGCTTTTGAGCTGTCTCCTCAGTCCTCTGTGTCAAGTTTGAAAAAGCCTGGGTGGAAATGAGAGCATGAAGTCATGACTACCCCAGGGATAGCTGTGCCCAAGTTTAAGAGGACATAGCAGTGGTTAATTTGTGATCATCAGTGCCCAACAGCCACCAGGCTGCCAAAGTCCTAAAGACCTGGGATGTAGTTGGAGAATTTGTGCTAGTGACGCCAGTGAGAGTCCCCCGGTGACGTATGTGTAGTGGGGAGAGAACAGAGACTCAGGAAGGGAATCTATTGCTTTCTCTCTATTCGCCTCTGCCACCCCCGGGAAAAGCTGGGAAGTCAGGACTGATAAGAGTCTGCCATGAGCCTTGCTCTCTGCAGGGAAGAAAAGTCAGTCCTAGACCTCACCCAGCCTTTTGGGTCAGTCGCCTTTGCCTTTCAGAAAAGAATTTCAAGAGGAAACAAGCAGTGAAGTAAAAATAGGTTTTTATGGATGTTATGAGGAAGGGAGTGATTGGGGAAAGAGAGCAGGGAGAGAGGGATGAAGAGGGGAGGGAGAGAGAGAGAGAGACAGAGAGAAAGAGAGAATAACATTTTCAAAAGAGAATGCTTGGGGCTGGAGAGATAGCACAGCGGGTAGGGCATTTGCCTTGCATGCAGCCGACCCGAGTTCGATTCCCAGGATCCCATATGGTCCCCTGAGCACCGCCAGGAGTAACTCCTGAGTGCAAAGCCAGGAGTAACTCCTGTACATCGCCAGGTGTGACCCAAAAAGCAAAAAAAAAAAAAAAAAAGAATGCTTGCTTCTTCAGCGTGGAGTGAGAGACCAAGTAAATATCCCAGCATTCAAGTATAAAAGTACGCATCTCAAGAGGGGAGATGAGCATAACACACATGTTCAGACACCACATGCACTGGGGCAACATCCTATGTGCTTGAACAGCATATGCACACTCTTTTTTGTTCCAAGATAACTTATATAGGGTTTATCCCAAGCTGCCTTATGTGAGGCTTTTTTCAATGCTAGGGGACAGAGCAATAGTACCTAGTGAGCTTTCACTTTGCATGCAGCTGACCCGGGTTCGATCCCCGATCACTGCCAGAAGTAATTTCTGAGTGCAAAGCCAGGAAAGTAACCCCTGAGCATCGCCACATGAGACGCAAAAAGTGAGGAGGAAAAAAAAATTTCATTGCTCGGGTGGTTGCTAGGGGAAAGAGTTGGGAGCACTTGATAGTCTTTGACATTCCTTTTCTGGCCTTTGTTCCTACTGGAGCTTCTCTAGAGAAGGGGATCAGCTTCTCTGGTTTGTGCTGGCTCCAGGTGATCTTATCAGACATTAGTTCCTGTGTCCACAAGGTAAATCCTAGAAACTTTGGGTCAATTTGGTTTTGTTTCTTCCCAAGAACCTCTCTGTTGCCATGGGAGGTCCTTTTCCTTATCTGCCTGCCTGCCTGCCTGCCTTTCTGCTTCACTAAGGTGGGTTTAAGAGGAAGATAGGGGCTTCACCCCAGCTGGTGACAGAATACACACTCTGGGGCTGGCAAATGAGCAGATGTCTGTGCTTTGACAGATCCAGAGGTTGCCTGTCTTGCTTGCTAGCAATCATATGTGGACTCACCGAGGTGAAATCTGTTTGTCATCAAGAGAAGGGGAGTCGTGAAGGAGGAGGAGTAAGCACTCATAATAATTGCCTCTTGGGCAGGTAGGGCACTTGCCTTGCATGCAAGCTACCTGGGTTCCATCCTTGGCATCTCATATGGTCCTTCAGCACTTCCAGGAGTGGCTCAAAAACAAAACAAAACAAAAGCCTGTTATCCTCCCACCTAGCTCAGGTATTTGTTAGGGGTGGGTAGAGCCCTCTGAGGAATTTTCCCTCAGGAGTGGTCACTATGGAGACTAAGATCCAATATGGTGTCCGCAGCTCTGCTATCAGCAAAGTTGTGAGAAGCCACTATGATAGTACCTGCCAGGGACTCTATCCTGTTTATACTGGATAGTTGTTTTGGGGGGGATTTTTTTTTTGGCTTTTTGGGTCACACCCAGCGATGTTCAGGGGGTTACTCCTGGAATTACTCCTGGAGATGCTTGGGGGACCATATGGGACACAGGTGGTCGAACTCAGGTTGGCTGCATGCAAAGCAAACACCCTACCCACTATACTATTGCTCCAGCCCCATATGCTGGATGGTTTTGATGTATAGGCAGCTTGGGAAAAAAACCTATAAAAGTCACCTTGAACAAAGAAAAAGTGGACATAAGCTGCCCAAACCCATGTGCCAAGCCACATGTGGCTCCTGAGTACATGTATTGCCCGTATCTCCCCTCTTGAAATGTGTACTGGGACTCTCTCCATTTTTTGGAGAAGCCCGTGCTTTTTCTCAAGTTCATTATTCTCTCTCTCTTTCTCTCCGTCCTTCCCTTCCTAGGGAAAAGCCTCCCCCCAAAAATCTGTTTTTACTTCACTGATCTTCTACTCCTGAAATTCTTTTCTGTGAGAATGACAAGGACCTAAAAAAAAGTCTCGATAAGGCCTAGGAACTGACTTTCTTTTCCTGCAAAGAGAAATTCCTTGATCCCCCAAGAAATCAGGTGATGGGGATTAACTCCTGTGCCAAGAAGATGAAGTGAATACCAGGTGCAACTTGATGGCCACCTAGTGGGGTTGTCAGGACTTGAGGTCCAAGCAGTGCAGGGGCTCATCCGTAGACTCTATCAGTCCTAGCCTTCCCAGGCAGTCCCAGGGTGGCAGAAGTGGATCAGGAGAAAGTGACCATCTCTCTCCTTCTTGCTTCAAATAAGCCACCCGTGGGGGTCGACTGACTTCAGTTTCTTGTCCCAATGCTGTTAGACAGGGTCATAGAGATGGGGTGTTCAGCACACTCTTCTGAACAACTTGGAAATCTCCTTCCAGTCACAGTCACTGCTAAATGGTGACTGTGCTAGGAATGTGTGCAATATCAACAACATAAAGAAGTAAAATTTTTGTCCCCAGTTATCAAGACCTACCCATTGGTGCAAGAATGACAAAACATTCATCAATCTGGGTCTGTCCTGAATGATGGGGGGAAAGTCCAAGGGTTTCTTTCTGAGAATAGCCACAGGAAATTTCATACTCCACCAAGTTTCAGAGTTGCTGAGAGTTGCTGAGGACCCCTTAGTCTCAGAGAAATGTGAAAAATCACTGGCCTTCATCGAAAGGAGGGACAGATCTCAATAACAAAGGTAACATTAGTAAATTTGTCTAGTGAGCTGCCGCCGCCTAATGCATGTGGGAATCCCCCAAAACAAGGTTTGAGGGAGAGAGTAGGAATTTCCTTGTATAGGCTACCAGATGATAACAATGCTACACATGATAGTAAATGAATTTACCAAGCTCAGAAGCAAAAAGATACGAGATTTATTAGAGCATGCTCACAAGTGTGGGCAGGCCTTAAAGGAAGAACAAATGGGTCAGGTAGGTAGAGAAATGGTTCAAGGGAAATGGTCCCATCTTATTGACAGTGCTCTGATCAGACAGTATGGCTTATTCATTATTGTAATCAGGGAGGGAATCCTAGTTATTCCCATGAGAATGTTCCTCTTGATATTTTTCCATCTGTGCAGATTTGGTTCCTCTGCTCAAAAATACTTGAAGAGTAGGAATAGGATCACTATTAATCACCTGCAAACAATGAGAACAGAACCATCAGTCATTATTTCTGAATAATGAGAACAGGACCATATGTTTGTATTGCATTTTACCCCTTACCTAGTGGTGTCTCTGGTTGTGATATGCAGTTCTCTAAGTTCCTGTAAATGTACAGATTTGTGTTTCACATATAAGGCAAATGCCCTACTCTCTATACTATCTCTCCAGCCCTAATTTTATGACTTTAAGAATAGAAGATGAAACAAATAAGAATTTTAATAAATATTACATTTTAAATAAAAAATGTTCTTAAATAAAAGAACCACTGTTTTGAACTGAAGTCACAAAACTTGCATTAATATTTCTCCTTAATTAGTTTATTCAATTCCATATAACTAATTCTGTTATGTGACTCATATCATTTTAAGTATAGGGCTATACCCAGTGGTGCTCTATAGTGTTTTGTAGTGGAGTTCAAACTCTAGCACCACATACATGATTTTTCAAGAACTGCTTGGAGTAACTCCCAAACAAATCCCAAAAAGACACAGAGTTGCAACTGTGAGATAAAAATCCCTTACTACTAGCATTTCTGGTTTTGCAAAACCTTTAGGAGCTCAAAGAGCCCCATTATGGTTACTGTAATTTTAAGTCATCTTAGATGCTATTGGTTAAGTAAGACAAGAATTCACAAAATCAAGAGCTATAACCCTTGTTAAGAAGGGAAATCCGTGTTAAATGTGGCTTTCATTTGCATTTTAAATATGATTTATGTTTTTTCATCATATCAGATTCCCTGAGGATAGACAAGGAATGTCTTTATGTTCAATTTTCAATTCGGTATTTCAGGTAACAATATTTAACATCTGGTTTATGTTTTGAAAAACTCTTTCCAGGGGTGGAGAAATAGCTTGATGGGTTGGAGTGCATGCTTTTGCATGCCAAAGGCTCATATTCAGTTCCTGGCATCTCATGGTACTTCAGGCATCATGAGAAGTGACCCTCAAACACAGAGCCCCTAAGCATCATTGGTTATGACCTGAAAAAGGAAAAATAGGAACTGGAGCAATAGCACAGTGGGTAGGGTGTTTGCCTTGCACGTGGACGACCTGAGTTCTATTCCCAGCATCCCATATAGCCCCCTGAGCACCGCCAGGAGTAATTCCTGAGTGCAGAGCCAGGAGTAACTCCTGTGCATTGCCAGGTGTGACTCAAAAAGGAAAAAAAAAGAAATAAAGAAAAAGGAAAATTAATTAAAAATATTTTCAAATGTATAAGTTTTTCCAATTGAAGGATTCTTGCCTGGACACTATTTAATAATTCAAATAGTAGCCAATTATCCAGTGAGCCTTTTTTAAAACTCCACAAAATTCAGAAAAGTTTAAAAAATACAGAAGACAGGGCTGGAGCAATAGCACAGCGGGTAGGGCGTTTGCCTTGCACGCAGCCAACATGGCCGACACAGGTTTGATTCCCAGCATCCCATATGGTCCCCCAAGCACCGCCAGGAGTGATTCTTGAGTGCATGAGCCAGGAGTAACCCCTGAGCATCGCCGGGTGTGACCCAAAAAGAAAAAAAAAATACAGAAGACAAAAGCTAGAAAAGCACCACTTTCTGTTAGGAAAAGAAGATTCAATAACCAGAATACTCCATCCCCCTTCATGGTTGGGAGAGATCCTGGGTTACAAGGAAGTTACTTTTAAACCCATGCATCTTAAATTAGACAGTAATTGGTGGTCCTTTGGGGAATAAAACAATTCTGTAGACTTTAAATTCCTAACAGAAATTCAGTTGGGTCTTTCTTACTAAAAATATTCAAAACTTGATCCTCCTTCAGTCAACTTTGCAAAAATAGAAGGGACCTCATCTGGTTATCTCAAGCACTCCCACTGTTATAAAACTTAATGGAATTAGGTTCACCTCTCCAGGATAAAACTAGCTCCATTTATATAATTCAGTGATCAGACTTTGAAAGAATGTGGACCTAAGTTTTGCTATGAAACCAAGAAAGACTTAAAACTTTAGAAGTACCTAAATATCGGTGCCATAGCTCTGTCACCTATAGGTGTATATATTTTATAGACATTTTCTTTCATTCTCTAATAAATATTTTAATTATTTTTAAGGTAGAGTGAGTGGAATTGCTGGGTTTTGTTTAGTTAGAAATGTTAAGGACTCCTTGTATATACCGCCAAAGTATTTTTAAGAAGAATTTGCACTTTCCGTTTTCAGAGTTGTTTAGAAGATAACTGTTCTCAACTTAGTTTTAGTGATCCATGTCTTTGTTTAAACTTTTGTCAACTTAAAAGCATGTTGAATACTATTTTTATGCTCTTGAAATAGGTGTCATTGATTTTTAAAACTATCTTCTTAAGTAAATAAAGTAAGTAAAGGCCCTCCCGTTGATCGTCGATTTGCTTGAGCGGGCCCAGTAACGTCTCCATTGGAGATTTTTGTTGTTACTGTGTCTGGCATATCGAGTACTCTCGGTAGCTTGCTGGGCTCTCCGAATCTTCTTAAGTATGTTTCCTCAAACTCTTTGCTTTGCTTATATCTATTTTTGCTTCTGTTTTAATAGTATTTAACTTCTGGCAATGTCTTTGTATTATTAAATTATTTCTGTTGATAGCTTAAAAATAAAGTATATGATAGTTGGTGAATAAAGCAAAAGAAGAAAGAACACTAAAACCTAAGGTATTACACTTATTAACTTTGAAAATTATCTACAGGTAACTGGTGAAAGTAGAAACTAACCCTTTTTTTAAATAAGCATTCACAAGAAAGGAAGAAAAACTTATGCGACAGTTATTATATTCCTGTATCTTTAAACACTCTGCCTCCTAGGTCCAGAAAAATCTTTTCTCTTTCATGGCCTATTGTTTTTAAAAGTTGTTCATCTGCTTTTTCTTTCAGAAAAGACAACTAAGACTGAATAAACTATTGCTTTGGACTCATTTAAAAAAAAAAAAAAAAAAACCAGAATACTCAAACAAATATATATCAGAGTAAATGAAACCAAAGAATGACTTTTACCAATATTTCTCCTGTTAATCTTACTTTAAGAAAATAAAACCATTGTCACCACTCTAACTCCAGGGTTCCAGCAGTTTTTAGATCTGAAATGGTAAAAATTCCTATCCTTATGCCAGTTAATGTCAGAGGCCCAAGGATTTCTGTGCGTCCATCACCTGGGAGTAAATAGGGTCCAATCAATGAATTCATGATTACCAAACTATATGGCACAGAGAAAATTCCCCCCACCCTTCTGGATTCTTTCTGAGTTGCTAAAGCAATAAAATTAACATGAGACTGATTAGTAGGAAGAAAAGATTTGATTTCATATGTATGCAGAATGTACATGAATGTCTCGTCTCAAGTAAATGGGTCAAAACAAGGGTATTTATTCAATGCTAAGGAATGAGATCAGAGGCTGTAAGAAGGAAGAGCAGGGACTCACATGATGATGAGGTGGTGGTTTTTGTCATATCAAAACTCAGAGAGATGCTAGGCAATCAGATTTTGCCTTGCTACACAGATAGATTCCTCCAACAAAAAGACCGTATATAGTAAAAACCCAAACTTTGGGCAATATTCCCAGTTTTCATCCTTCCAGGTGGTTAAGGGAAAAGTAAAAGTTTCTACTGATACTATTAGGCCTCCATTTAAAATAATCCATGTGCCAAAGTGACAAGTCATAGCAAGACCTAACCTAGACATCTTTTTTTTTTCCTTTTGGGTCACACCTGGCAATGCACAGGGGTTATTCCTAGCTCTGCACTCAGAAATTACTACCGGAAGTGCTCAGGGGACCATATGGGATTCTCGGAACCGAACGCAGGTCAGCCACGTACAAGGCAAATGCCCTACCTGCTGTTCTATCACTCCAGCCCGTAACCTAGACATATTGAAGAGGTCTAACTGAACATGTGTAGAGGAACATCTTAAGGCCCTAAACAAGTCTGAGAAAAAAACAATAACAAAAGCAACATTTCTCAGAAACACCACTTTTTTTCTCTTTTTCTAGATATCTCTATGGTCCCTCTCCCTCCGATGCTGTGATGACAGGGGGTTGCTTATATGCCTATGCCATGGTGCTCACACATTATTTTTAACTGAAGTGACTGCTAGGGGTCATCCATCAGCTTGTGGGGCCTACATACTTGGTCACAGTGCTCACCAAGGTTGGCATCTTTTAGTCGCAGTGACTGCCCATATGCTCACTGAGGATCACACTCTTAGTTAAAGAACACAAGAATGGTTGGGTACATTGAAGGTCACGATGATGCTCACACATGTGCTCACCAGGGGACTCACTATCTTTTAAATTCCCCTTCCTTTGACCCCCTTTTAACTAACTCCCTACGCTTCATTGTTACTGATGTTGCAATGATCAGGTGTTGCACACACACCTGGTTGTGGGGCTTGCACATTTAATTGTGGTGTTCACTAGGAATCACATATCCGGTTGCACTGATCACACATCCATCTTGGGACCCTTACCAACAAGTGCCTTTTCATTGTGGTTCTTGTCCACATGCTCAGTGGGGGACGCACTCTTTCATTGTGGTGTTCAAGCACATTCTGGTTGTAGTGCCTACGGTGGTGCTCACACACTGGTCCCTAGGGTTTGCACTTCCTGGATATGTTACTCACACATCTTTTTATTTTAGTTGTGGTGCTTGCTCACACCCCTTTAATTAGGGAATGTACACATACCTGGCTATGGCATGGCCAAAATTCCTTGTGGCACCAGAGATCACAGAGCGCAAAATGGCCAGGCTCTAGCAGCAGAGCCGCCATATCTCTCCCAGCACATGTGGTGGTACTGGGACCTGAACTCGTGACCTTATTTTTAGAAGCTAGGCATTGTAAGCCACTAAAGCGTTCCTTTGGGTCCCTCCCTATTTCAGTTGTTATTGTTACTGTTGTGTTGATCAGGGTTTGCACACATGGCCATGATGTTTACATATTTGTAGCTGCAGTGTTCACACACACTTTGTTGCAACCCATCAGAGATGGCACATTTGATTAG